ACTCATGTAGGGGGACACCCACATAAAGGGGAAAAGACTGGGTAGTCTGTAGGAAAAGAACCAGTTCTGTGTTATAAGTAGACAGAAAAGAAAAGGAAAAAAAAAATATATATATATATATATATATATCATGTCAGGGAGAAGAAGCTGGTTTCATTGCCTTAACATTTTCCACCTGCCTCAGTAACCTTCTCTCTGGGACTGCTGGAGGGAGAGTCATTTGACCACTAACATGAGGTCCGAGAATTAGCATGGAAGTGTTTCTGTCCCCTCCCTAAGTTGGGGGGCCATAGCAATCATGCCTCTTCACTTTGGAAAGGCCAACCTTAGTTCCCAATGTCAAGGAGGAGAGTCAGCTCAGTCAGACCCTTGACCGGGCTCTTGAGGATGGAGGTGGTGGTTGGCTCTGCGTAGATGGATGAGTGAGGACTGGCTCAGGTAGAGAAGATTTGCCTTGGCCCCGAGGATTTCTGCCATCGGTGGGAATCTCAGAGATCGCTGTGATAAAGGCTGTCTCTCATATTCAAGGAGCACCTGAGCCCTTGAAAGGGTGAATGGCTTGGCTGCTGGAATTTGGGCTTCCTCCTCCCCTTGCCAATGCTCTTTTCGCAGCACCTGGCAACCTGACAAATCTGGAATTTTCTCCTCGATTTGATGTCCCCGTTAAGTTTATTTTCCCAAAACTTGCTCCATGAAACAATAGTCCTCCAAGTTAGAGTGTAACTAGCAGGTTTAGAGGTCATATAAGTTTAAGACACAAGGCCCCATGTGCTCCCCCAGAGAGTTACAAGGCTTTCTCTCCAAAGCTTAGAAAGTATTGCAGAACCTGTTTAACTTCGTTCAACACAAGCTACTCATGACTTTTTAAGCATGGATTCCTATTTTCACAGCAGCTTCTTATCCCCACAGAACTAGTGATCCTCCAGACTCATTTCAGAAATACTGAATGATTTTTTTTTTAAGTCAGTCAAGAAGGCTTTGTTAGTTCTGAGAGACAGCAAAACAACTCAAACACACGGATCACCTGCCCAATCGGACGCTCTTTTCCCATCAATCCAAAGTATGTATTAATATTTACTATTTGTGGGGATGCATGAAGGAGCATATGGTAAAGACAGGCAGGGCTCTATCTGGGCTACACGGGTCTGGCAAGGCTCCTCTAAGGCGGTGAGAAGTGCTAGGGATACATCCGTCCCTATCTTATCTCTAATGGAGAACAGCACCATCTACTTATTCTGCTCCAGAACTTGGGTCAGGAATAGTCATTTACTATTAGTAACACACTTTGATCCCCTCACGTGAAAGGCCTCACACACTGGAGGCGCCATTATTGTTGGGCCAGAGGATGGGAACAGGGACAGACGCCTTCAAACAGGGATACGCCCATCTACTAAATCCTCTGTGGCCGGGGGGTGGGGCTGAGGGCAAGAATGCTGTAGAAGCAGTTCCAGGTCTACGAGCTAAAACTACAACAGGAAAGGCTTTCAGATCTGGTGTGAAGAGCAAGCAAAGGGTCTACAGGTGACTGTCACCCCTGAGGGAAAAGCTCTGAATTTTTTAAAAAATATATTACATTTAACCAGAAATGTTTGAAAAGTAAACATTGCTAGAAGGTTTGCTTCCTATGTAAATCTTCAGCTAAGGTTTATCTTTACCTACATTCATTTGTCTTACATTGAACACGAAATTCCATTTTTAACCTAGAGCAAAACCTGCCCTTGAAGGTAAACGATTGAATTCATCAAGTAAAAGTTTTTAATGGAATCAATGCACTGAGGTTAACAGGAGGGCTCTAGAGTCCGAGAGTGGGAGGGGGTTTAATCCTCACAACACAGTTTACCAGCCACACTTGCTCAGGAAGTTTCTTCATGTCTTTCTTCACCCCATTCCTCTGAGCCCATACTTCCTCCTCAATTCCTTTCACGTCAAGCCGGTCCTCAGGACTGTTGTGGAAGCTGAATTATAATATAGGTCATGCTTAGCCCAGTCCCCAGCTCATAAATGGCAGGGGATCGATACAAGTAATAATTGAAAAAATAAGCATTGATAATAATTATTAAATAATAATACTACTGGTAATAATATACCAGCTTTATTTTATATTATAACATACTACTATTGTAATTACAGTAATAATTATAATAATAGTAATACTATTACTAATAAAAGATAGTGAGGAGCGGGACAACCACGTCGGAAAACTGGCTGAATATTTGCACATGGCTCAGGAATCCTGTTTCCCAAGTATGTGTATATATAAATATATATGTTATATTTTTGTTTGCCCATTTTATATATGGTCACGGCAAAGCAGCTCTGGCATGAGCCCCACAGCGCTGGACAACGATGTCGCCAGGCCCCCTGGTGCCAGGGCCCGCGATGCACCCACATAATCTGGCCTCGTGCTCTTTCCTTCTGGTTCCATCCACTCTGAGCCTCGTGTGCATGCAGCACCTCATTCTTCTTCTGTAAACAATGAGCATGTGCTTCTCCCTTGTGGGATCCCTGCCCTCTCTCTGTCTTTCCCCGTCTGGACTAAGGCTCCAGGCCTTTCTGAAATCCCACTTCTTTCTACAGCTTTCTAGGCCCAGCCACCTCCGCAGAGAGACACGAGCCTGCCAATGACTACCAGTTAGCCCCTGCAGCACCACAGGGCAGGAAAGAGGCCTTGCTGCCCCTGGAGTCCAGGTGGGGGATTGGCACAGGAACTAACCAAGAAGTTTTGTTTTGCTCCGATTTCCTAGAGGACAGAGACAGGCATTGCTTGGGCAACAATGTGTGGCCTGAGGTCCATGTGATGCACGAGTGAATGCAAAGCCGTCCAGGGCAAGCCTGCCCCAGGGCTCCAAGGGCCCTAATTCACAGGGGAAGGAGTATAGGCTTTGGGGTCAGACAGAGCTGCAGACAGACTCTGCTTATCACCAATTTGGATGCTTTACCCCATTCCTCTGAGCCCATACTTCCTCCTAAAATATATGGGTGTACCTCCAGGGTTATCGGGAGAATAAGCAAATGTAGTAACATCCACAAAGCACCTGCCCCTACAACACCTGGCCCATAAAAGATGCTCTATGAATGTACCGAACTGAGCCAGCTACCTCTAGGCACATTTGGGTTGACAAGAAAAGGACCACCAGGAGAAGACAAACATCTGGGAACTCCAAAATAGAGAAGATACAGAGGACAGAGGAATTCTTCCAGGCACGTGCGGCAGCCGTTGTCAGGGGCACGATGGTTGCATCGAAGTCTGAGCTCCAGCTCTGGACTCAATCTGCAGCCATCAGCTTTCATTAGCTCTGCGCCCTTGCATCCATTCCGAGGCTCAGTATCTTCGTTGTGGTTTCCTCCTCATATGGTTGTTGTGATGATTAAGTGAGTAAGCAGTTTATCAGCAAACCAGGCTGGGCAGGTGCCGGGGAAATGGCCCTTTCTCCATGCCTTCTCAAGACCAATCTGCCACCTAGACCCCCCTCCCCTAGACCAAATCCCCTAAACACATGCCCTAGACTAACAGCTCTCTAGTCACTTTCATGTATTAATAAAGACCTTTTCAGAAATGAAAAAGCCCAGAATTCTTCAAAGTCAGAACTTCAGATCCTCTTTTGACTGAAAGCTTCTCCATCCACCACCGCTGGGGGCCAGTTGGGGCTCGCCAACCCACAGGGGAGGGAAGTGGAGGGGGCTGCCCCACCATTTACCCACCCTGCTCTTCCGCTACTCCTTACAACACCCAACTTGTGGGGCAAGGGGAGAGAGGAGAGGGGAGGAGAGAGAGAAGGAGGGAAGGAACTGGCTTCACTGGTGCAGTTGGAATCTAGCTCGAGAAGTGCCAAGTGCCGCCTCTTTCTCACGGGATGCTCTCGTGGGCTCTTCGGAGACTGCACACCCTCACTGGGCAGACATTTTGAGCAGAGTCTCAAAACACTCAAGCCTGGCTCCCTGCACATCTCACTACAGCTGACACCGGGCACCCTCCCCGCACGCCCTCTGCAGCCCCTTCTCCCTGCTCTGCCTTAGGGACCCCCTCCAGCCAGCCTCTGTCCTTTGGATAGGGTCCCAGCTTTCCCAACCTTGGCACGGCTGGTGTTGCGTGGGCATGCTTTGCTCTGGGCCTGTTCTGGGCATGGTAGAATATTGAGAATTCTTGACCATAACATCATGTCCCCTAGGGGACACAACTGCCCCTAATTGAAAACCACTGGATTAAAGTATCCCAGGCAAGAGTTAATCAAAACTTCCAGTACTTTCCAAATTTCAGGAGACACTTGAAGCTCCCTGAACACTTGACTTAAAGAGGCACTAATCCCTTCCCTCCTCTAAATACTCACTAAACCTTTTTGTGATTGTCCCCTACTTTCTGTTTCGTAGCCTAGAGGGGATGATGAGCCAAGAGTGGCAAAACCCGGCTTGGGTCACCCCAGCAACCCTGCACAAGTTTTTTTTCTTTTGGGGGATTGGGGAGCATTTGTCACCTTTTCTGTTCAGCAATTACTGCAACTGGGGACACATTCTATTGGAGCACAGGTTAGGGACAGGACAAGGGCTATGTTGATATTAGGTTCAGGGATACTGTAATTGATTGAAAGCAAATGTACATTGAGAAAAATGTACTTACAAATATTTTGAGCATCTACAGCTTACTTAATGAGATTTTGAGGCTAGGCCCAAACTTTTCTGCTGGAGAAAAGTTCCATGTACTCCTGCCAGGCCTCTCATTTAATTGCATAGTTACACATAGCAGAAAGTGATCCCAGCAGCCCCTGGTCCTTTCCCCCGCCCCCATGATGAAAGGGAATGGGGGAGGAAGCAAGCCTGGTGGGCAGGAAGAAAGGAAGACAAGGGAATAAGAGCAGTAATTATTCTTACTCCCTTTCATTTTCCATCAGTGGCCTCGAAAAACACTTACATACAGGAATGCTTTTGTAAAATGATGGCTTGGTTCCATTTCAAAATAGTAAATCTAATGTCATGAAAAAAACAAGACGTGTAGTTCAGTAATATTTTATTGTCGGTGACATAAAAGACATTCAATATTGAACCTTCAGAGCAAGAAGAAAGTTGAACCTATTTACAATGAATGCCAGAGAAGAGACGGGTGAAGGAATGTCACGAAATCGTCAGCAAATGTGCTCTTTTGGTAGTGAGCTAACCCGTGTACCTGCAGCACAGATAGCGTAACAGACCAACTTCACAAATTACTATTAATGTAAGTTACTAACTATGTACCATAACTAAACCCGAAGTCTGGAAACATACGTGTCAAGGCAGTGAGAACACTCCAATTGCTGTTGTTCTCTCCAAAGGCATTAGCTCCTTTCCCCTTTCCCACTAGCACGCTAGACAAAGAGCCAAGTTCCTTCAACACTCAAAATACTCTTTTATCGGCTACCTTAAAAATCCCCGCGTGTTTGAAGTCCCTGATCATCAGACACCCAGAGCCTTGTTGAGGCTGTCAGCATTCCCTGTCCATCAGTGACCTACCACCAGCCAAGTGACCACGTGCGTGTTCTGTCGAAAGTGAAAGTGGATTTTTAATAAAATCTAACCTCCCCTCGAGGTGCTGCACTTCCACTACTACGGGTCTGCAATGCCCTCTCCAACCTTCCAAAATTTCAAAAAGGTCTGAAAACCAAAAGCTTCTTCATAAGCGGGTGGCACACTCATTTGGCAGTAAAACCTGACATTTATTATGGGCTACTCAGAGTCCTTATCCAATTTGTGTGAATATTCTGTTTTGCGGCAGAAATATGAAAGTGTTGATTTACAGGGTTCTGCCCCAGACTCTCTCAACGGAGTTCCTTCCATAACATATAGTATGTGCAACATGTTAGCTTTCTAAAATCCCAAAAAGTCACAGAGGTGGGAGATAATTTGGCAAGTAATGAATACATATTTTTCATCTACTGTAACTCCTTTTCATTAAAAGCATTGTAGTTTATGGCGGGGGGCAGGGGTGGGGAGAATAAAAGAAAGGATTGGAAAAGAAGAGCCTATTAGTGTGAGGGTTACACATGTCAAGTACCAGCTACTTCCTGATCCAGCAATATTAACAATTATTGTATTTAGAAGGTGATTCTTTGGATGCAGAGTTTACAGAAAAGTCAGGTGGGACTTAACCTGGGCTCTGCCACTTAAGGAGAACAGAACTTGCCAAAGAAAATGATGTTTCGCGTTTTGTTGTGCCTGATGATGTAAATAAATGGGTGGTCGGCATTGAATTCATCCTTGTGTTGCAGGATTCGCGATCCTGGCACCTCTATGGAATCCCCACCATCTTCCGTTATCTCTAAGCACACTCTGTGAATAACATTGGAGAGGGCCACTCCCTTGGTCTCTGACATTCCAGAGAAATCAGATGTATTCTCATTAAAGATATTTTTCAGCCCTAGGTTTTCCAGACTAGCTTTGGGATCAACAAGCTTTTCCACCTTAAATTTTGGAATGGAGAGTTTGACTTTGGCATTGGCCATGGTGCTGGGATTGGTCCACTGCAAGAGTGTCTCTGAGTTGAGCTGTTGTTCAACCTGAAGGACCCAAAGGAGAGGAAATTACTTTTTTTTATTATTCCCAGTTGTAAAAGACCCTGTTTGATTGAAAACAGAAAGTGCCGTTGTGAACCCAGTTTTGAAGCAGCGCAGATGGGCCACCGAACATGGAGTCAGTCCTGTAGTTTAGGTATGTGACTAGTTTTCCTTACCAAAGATGCACCCAGCCACCCAGCACCCCACCCTCCAACAATGGTCACTTTGCATGTCTGAGGGCATTTCTTTGAAGCCATAGAGAAGAAATGAACGCATGGATGATGTTGCATAAATAAGAGTGAAATAAACATAAAATGAGAAGGGTTTTTAGACATGCTATTTCTTGAATGCTTATTTTAACTTCTCTGCCAGGAAATCCGGAACATTCATGTACTTGGTATGGCATCAAAATTAGTAACGTAAATTAAAGCTAAAGTTGCTCTTTCTCAAATGAGAACTTGAACTGTCTACGGTCATTCTTGAAGACCCAAGGTGATGAATGCATCCATTTCAGTTGGTGGTTTTAGAAATGAGAGATATGCAATGACACATAAAATGGTTTAGTCATAAAATTCCTCACTGAGCAAATCTTAGATTGCTCCTTGCCCAGCCAACCTCCCCACTGGCTAGCGGAGAAACATGTGCAAAAAGAGAATGACAGTACCTTGACTGTTACTATCATGGGGTCACCCCGCACTGAAGTTACTCACCTGAAACCCCATAAAAGTCCATAACACAGCAAGGTCACAGAGTGGGCACAAGTTTGTTTGTTTGTTTTGTTTTTAGTGGGGGAGGGTCCCCTTGGATTCTCTTGTTAATCTACAATGATTATGTTTTCAATGATTACTGTTTCATTTACAACAAATTATTCAGACCAAAAGATTGCCATAAGTAACTAGAATTTTTGAGCCAAAAGCTACCAAAAGGTATATTCTCTTGCCCGCTTATTATCTGGGAATGAAGAGAGGGAAGAAAATTCATCCCTAACTCAAAAAGACTACTCAGAGGGAAAAAAGCGCTTTTTTTCTTCCATTATATATGTGTTATGTGTCAAATTGTACTCCCACCCCAAAATCAATTCATATGTTGAAGTCCTAACTCACACTGCCTTCGAATGTGACCTTATGTGGGAACAGCATCCTTGTGGGTGTCATTCAGATGAGGTCATTAGGGTGGGCCCTAACCTAATATGACCCGTGTCTTTATAAAAAGGAAAATTTCAGACACAGATGCACACACACAGGGAGAAAGCCATGTGAACACAGAGGCAAAAATTGAAGTGATGCATCTCCAGGCCAAGGAAGGCCAAAGAGTGCCAGCCTATCTCCAGAAGCTGAGGGAGAGGCAGAGGACAGAGTCTCCCTCACAGCCCCCAGCAGGAACCAACACCGTGAGCTCAGATTTCTAGCCTCTGGAACTGTGAGAGAATAAATTCCTGTTGTTTAAGCCCCTGAGTTTGTGGTATTTTATTATGGCAGCCGCAGGAGACCAACGCTACACGTGTTCTTGCATTTTCCTGAGACCCAAGAGATCAGTTTCTTCCATTCTATACTGTAATCAGGCAAAGTTTGGTATGAGGGTATTTCCCATAAGGGAAAGTGCAAGGACCAAGGAGAAAAGAGACCAAGGCATGGAGTGGAGTGAGAAAGAGCAGTGAATAAAAGAGCAATGAAGGCCGGCGATGGAGAGAATGTAACCATCATTAAAGTAGCAAGTGGGATGGAGACTGACTTACACCTAGATCATCCCCGGGAAAGTCAGGGAGTAACTGAGGCATGCAATGAAGCAGGTGATCTCTGGGTTCCTCAAAGAGCCCATCCTTCTCCCTGGCTAAGGGCCGAGACCCAGGTGGAGGGGAGCTAGGGAAGCTGGGGAGTGAGGGCCAAGGGGGGGAGCAGGTGGCCAGGGCATGGCTGGATGGGTCTGCCAGAGCAGACAGGAAGCTAAAGCACCATTCACAAGCAGATGAGCCTCTAGTTAAACCCCGAGCCTCTAATAACCTACAGAAAAGATGAAGCATAATAAAATCTTATATACGTGTATGCATTAAAAGGGCTTTTCAAAACCCATAGCATGTGCCACACAAAGAGTGAACCCTAAAGCAAGCTGTGGACTCTATGACAATGTGCTGATAACTGGCTCATCGGCTGTAACAAACGTACCGCACTAATGCAAGATGCTAGTAATAGGTACCCGAGGCTAGATTAAGAACACAGATTCCAACTGCCTGGGCTCAAATTCTGATTCTACATGCCACTGACAACTTAGGTGACCACGGACCAGTCACCTCCCCTGCTGTGCCTCAGTTTCCCCAGTCAACAAGAACACAGTGATAGTTTCCAATGCACGGATAGGGCTGTTGCGAGAAACCAGTGACAAGGAGCACGTGGGACCTCACAGGTCCTGGCTCCTCGCAAGTGCCAAGTAAATGCTGGCTGTTTTCCTATTAAACAGAAAGACCCGGAAAGGACTGCAAGACCCTTGTCACGGTCGCACACAGTGCTGGCCACACAACTTCGTGGCATGGCAGGCGGCACCTTTGTGTTGAACCCCGCCTCCCTCCTCACCTTCTCCAGGCCCGTGGACTCATCCTCCACGTCACTGGGTAGCAGAATGAGCATGCTGAGGTGCTTATTTTGAAAGGGAAGCTCTATGATCTTACAATTGATACCATCGACGTTGCCCATACAGAGCGTGGCCTCCATACTCATCATCTGCACTGGTTTGGTGTCCGTCTGTAAGAGGAGAAGAAATTTTGACCGCTTGTTTTTCAAGTTACAAGCACAACCATAAATACACACAGACATTTGTTCTCGTTATAGTTTCAGGCCATAATGGCGCAGTCCTGCATCTGGACCCAAACCATCACAGACTAGCCCCTGAAGAGTTTATGACTTCCTTTGAACAGTTACTCACATGCCTCATAATTCCAATCTATTTCAGGAACTAGACATACTAAACTTGCTTATATTAAACATTAAAAATAAGGCAGTATGACTGAAAACATAGCGAAACTTTGACTCAGTCTTTATAGATGCTCATAATTACAAGCTCCTTAAGCCATCCCTGGTGGAGCTGACTTGAAAGTAAGTTCTAGTGCAAACCACGCATCTCCTTATGCAACTTTTTCTGCTAGAACACGTAATAGAGAACACTCAGCATGTAGCAGGACAAACATCATATTTGTTTTGTCCTGTTATCCTTTGGTTTTGTTACCCTCTTCCTGTACGGCAAACCTACTGGGATCGGAGCAGATGAAGAGTCTGGGTTAGAGTTAAGAACCTCGGGTTTTAGGGGCGCCTGGGTGGCTCAGTCGTTAAGCGTCTGCCTTCGGCTCAGGTCATGATCCCAGGGTCCTGGGATTGAGCCCCACATCGGGCTCCC